GGCACTGGGCCAGTGCCCAGAAGTCCAAAGGGGAACCGGGAAGCTGGCAGGGGCCCCTTACTCTGACTCCGAGGCAGGGGAAGTAGGGGTTAGGATCGTTCCTCAACTTTAGGACTCAACTACCTCAATACCAGCTACCTCTCAATGCCCAAGTAAGCAAATGGGCCACTGATGCTCACATGGCTCTAACACATCCATGAGGTAGAGCTTAATGGCCAAAGCTCTGGTAGTGAATACTACTTCTCTTGGTAACTGCTACTAGCAAAACAGACAGCAAAACAACAACAACAACAACAATAATAGCAACAGCAAAAATCAAGTCACTCAATGTTCCCAGTACTTTGACAATCAGCTTTTCTGAGGAAGGCCCGTGTCTGCTGCTATTTTGGTTGTCCCACGGTGCTCGGTTCAGTGGTATACCCACCAGACATTTGGTAAATAGTTGGACAGCTGGGAAATCTTAACATGAAGTATTGTTTTGATTGGGGGTGGGGGTGCAGAAGAACGTTTACCAGGTCCTATGGTGAGAAATCAGTCTCTGCTTTGTGGAGAAAAGGCTGAAGACAAAATAAGAGTTAAGCTTACGTTATTTGTTATTAAAGAGGCAAAGTCTTAAGATGTGCTTTTTAACAGTCTTTAGTTTGGTTGTAATTTAAGATGACTTTTACAAATTAGATCCTAATCCTTGCAGACACAGATGGCTGTTAACAGAATAGCCTTGCAAAAACACTAGTCATTTGACTTGAAAGAGCATTCAGACAAGGATGAAGGGCCATTAACTCTCATCCTACCCGTGGCTCTAGGAGGTCTAAGGAGTCCTGGGTGGGCTTTCTGGGTTTAGATGTGGGTCTGGAATCTGGGTGGGCCTAGGGCTTCTGTTCTCATTTGGAACAGCTTCTCTAGGTCACTCTGGAATCAGAGATTTAGGTCAGACTGGAGATCATTACCATTTGACAACAGTAACTAAATACTTATGTGTGAGGTACCATGCTGGGAACTTCAGGGGAGGTAGATATGAACATGATATGGACAGCCTTTGTAAAAAATTACAGAACAACAGAACAAGTGCTATGAGAGAGGAATGTACAAACTGCAATGGGTACATAGGTGAGGAGTTTGGGAGAAGGGGAGGGCTTCTGAGAGGGGATGACATTTGAGCTGGGCATTAAAAGATGAGGTCAAACAGGCCAGGAAAAGTGGGGAGGGTGGATATTCAAGGAAGAGAGAACACAGTTCAAGAGCACAGAGGCATGAGAGTCTTTTGTGTCTTCCATGAATAGTGAGCAATCTCTTATCTCCTGGTGAGAGAAACACGTAATGAGAGGCAGAACTTAAAGTGGGAAAGGTAGGTATGGACTAGACTGTGAAGAGTTTTTGAAAAACATTCTAAGGGGTCTGTCCTCATCCTAGGGCTATAAGGAGCTTTTAATGAGTTTTTATTTATTTTTATTTTTTAAAATATTTTAATTTGACAGAGAGAGAGAGACAGCGAGAGAGGAAATACAAAGCAGGGGGAGTGGGAGAGGGAGAAGCAGCCTTCCCGTCAAGCAGGGAGCCCGATGCAGGGCTCGATCCCAGGACCCTGGGATCACAACCTGAGCCAAAGGCAGACACTTAATGACTGAGCCACCCAGGCGCCCCTATTAATGAGTTTTTAAACAACAAAGGGAATGATGAGAATAGGGCTTTAGAAAAACCACTCTGTGCAGATAATATCAGGTTGACCAACGACCATAAAATGGACCTGTGATGGATATTGGGAAGCTCTTGATTCCTCCTAGAGAAGCAAGCCACTGGTTAGACTTTTCCTCTGGGAAACTGGGACAAACTTGATCTAAACTGCTTTGGGGGGTGCCTGGGTGGCTCAGTCATTGAGCGTCTGCCTTCGGCTCAGGTCATGATCGCCGGGTCCTGAGATCGAGCCTTGCATCAGGCTCCCTGCTCAGCGGGAAGCCTGCTTCTCCCTCTCCCATTCCCCCTGTTTGTGTTCCCTCTCTCACTGTGTCTCTCTGTCAAATAAATAAATAAAATCTTTAAAAAAATAAAATAAAATAAACTGGCCTTGGGATAGGGTTTGAGGTAGAAATGGGATCAGGTGTGAAAGGGACACTGGGAGAAGATACTGTTAACCGGATTGAATAGTGTTCTTCAGCAGTGTAAAGGGTGAATGAGATTTAAATCAAGAGTACATTTTCTTGGGGCTCCTGTGTGGCTCAGTCGTTAAGCGTCTGCCTTTGGCTCAGGTCATGATCTCAGGGTCCTGGATCAAGCCCCATATCGGGCCCCCTGCTCTGTGGGAGGCCTGCTTCTCCCTCTCCCACCCCCCCTCCTTGTGTTCCCTCTCTTGCTGTGTCTCTGTCAAATAAATAAATAAAATCTCAAAAAAAATAAACAAAAACACTTCTTAAAAAAAAATACATTTTCTCTAAGACTAGATGATTGATGCTCCATTTAGGGCAAATCCACAGTTAACACAGTCTGCACTGAAAAGGCTGAGTGCTGGATCAGTAGAACTTGAAGTGGGTAGGTAGCAGGCCCAAGAACTTTCTGCATTTCACTTCACAGTTCCCTTATTTGCAACAACAACTTTGTATAGTCTACATTTCCGCCTTGTGGGAAGAGGTCACTAATACTGACCATAAAATCCAGCTTCTTTAGAGATTGTTCCCCCCCACCCTACTTCCAGTAATCAGGTTTAAAAATTAATTTGAAAGAAAATAAAGTTTAATTTTAAACACCAGCAAAGTCCTTAGATTCTATCTCTTCTAGTACTTTCATTTTCAAATGAAAGGCCCAGAAGGGGAATGCCTTAAAACCAAGGGTTGGGAATCTTAGAAGTTCTCATCACAAGGGAAAAAAAATTTATAAATATGTATGGTGATGGATATTAGCTAGACTTATTGTGGTGATCATTTCACAATGTTCACAAATACTGAATTATTATGTTGTACACTTGAAACTAATATAGTTATATGTTAATTATACTTAAATACAACAAACAAAAAAACAAGAATTGGAAGAGACTAAGTTAGCTCCTAAGTTTTATAAGTTCTTTAAGAGAGATGTTCATCATTGAACAGTAAGTAGGAGAACCAGGCTGATCTTGAACCCCTTGCTAGTGGCTCTTTCCTAAGTGTTTATACATTTAGAGTTTAACTTCAGTGTCAGAGTTAAAGTAGTTTCTTACCTGGCTATGCAGTACACAGAGCACGTACACACATGTGTTCCCTGAACATGTTTGTGTGTGTTATATATGAACAAAGAGGAAGAGCTTGGAGCAGTAGGTGGGGCTAGTAAGAGAGGAGCCAATGGCTAGCACCTAGGGTCCATTCTAGTTTCCTTGGCTTAGACATTAAGTAGTAGGATCCTCATCCCACCTAGCATTTTGTGGCTGAGTGGTAGGGCTAAACATATACCACTGGCTTCTGTCTCTACTCTACAAATCTGACAGCCACTGTGAGGGACTAAGATGAACCTTAATCAAATTCTTGGTTTTGTGTTTTAGATGGAAGTCTAAGTTACTAGATCTCATAATTACTAGATCAATTAAATGGAATCACAGACTATTAAGATTTACTGTGTATCTTAGAGATAAGCTAGTCTAAGCCCCATCCCATTTAAAGTAGGAACACCGGGAATGAATCCTTCTCCATATAAGTCTAGTATTGCTGAAAAGGAATCATTTAGTAGTGTTGGTTATCTCCAATGTCAGGAAAACCACTACTTCATGATACAACATATTCATTCCCTCCTTAGAAAATACTTTCTTATATTGGGCCAAAATTGCCTTCTGTAACTTTCACATCATTGGTCCCAGTTCTGTCCTTGGAGCCTCACAAAGTAAGATGCCTCTTTTTCATGGCAGGCCTTCAAGTAGCTGAAGACAACAATCAAGTCTCCCATGGCCTTTCCATCTCTAGAGGAAATGTTCCTCAAATGATATGATTCCCAGTTCCCTCATCTTCCCACTAGCCCTGCTCTAGACATGCTTTTTTTTCTTCAGGCTTCAGAATGGAATCCAAGGATTCTTTGAGGGTGAGTTTATTTTAGTACAGAGTTGAATAGGACCAGGATTATACCTCCAGAAACGCAGCTAGCATTTTCTTAGCATCCACAACACAATAATGTATATTCAGCTCAATTCACCATAACCTCTGATAATGCATGGTCTTCCCATCCCAAATGTGAGTAATTAATTCTCTAAATTTACTGTGGGAATCTATCTCTGAATATTTCTGTAAAATTCTTATAGGTTCATTTTTGTCTATTGTTTTTGTATTTTAAGGTTTTCTTGAATCTTATTTTTCATAATCTATAAATCTGATAAAGTTTTCATGTAAGTTCCAGTAAGCATGGTGAGTAATAAAGGATTAAATACAGAACCTCTTGGTTCCTTCTAGGGAGAGGATAATCACTTAGTCAACACTTTTTGGATACTATCATTTAATAAGCAATGAAACTACCTAGCTATAGATTTATATCTTTCTACTTTGCCCCAGGATACTATTAGAGACTATCAAGTACCATGCTGAAATACAGAAACACAGTGAATATAGGTCATCCTCTGTGACTTTCCAGGATAGTAAGAACTATCAAATCACAAAATACTCTTGGTTTAGCATATCTTAGTGAACCTATAATCACTGATTCTGATTGAACTGTTAAGCTGTTAAGCACACAATTCTCAGATCTATTCTGATATACAGAGATGAGATCTTGGGAAAGCCTATATGGATGGTGGAATAGGGGAAATAGCTAGGAAGGAAGAAAGACCTAGTACCTAATTTCTTCTATAGGCTCCTGGGCACAAGTCTGTTGGCCTGGGAAGACATACCTTCTCCGAAGGCTGAGGAGAGAATGGTGTGCAGAACAAAGTACTCCTAGGTGTGTGGTCTTGTAGTAGGCTGTACCATGGGACTTTTCTTGGACTATTTTGTCCAGTCCTAATGATGGGATATCTCCCACTGGACACATTTCCTAAAACAGGCATGGGAACTTACGTCTCTCCTAGGAAAGGTACTCAGTAACTTGAACTCGTCCCATGGAAATCCTTTGGAAGCTACAAAATCAAAGACAATCTGGAGCTTATTGCTGGCCAGGAACCGCCGCTCGAGGAACTCGCCACTAGGGGTCCGGATCCGCAGTTTGCTCACGGGTTCAGCATTTTCTTCCTTTGGCTCTGGAGGCAGGGCCTGCTCTAAGGAGAGCCGGATGGCCTAAAGAAGGCAAAAACCAAGTGTCAAAGTGTGTGATAGATAGGACTGTGGGGAGTGGGGCAGGGAGAGCCTAGAAGAAAACTGCTGCTTTGTATAAACCCATCAAAAAGTTACTGTCCATTTATTAACCAAGCCTGATGCTTGACAACAGAATCATGTTTTTCATTTTCTTAATATTAGCCCAATAAGCAATTAATTAAAGTAAGTCCCACCTTGATGATATGTGTTATTAAACTGATAGGTAATCACATAGAAAATAAATGTAATTTAATTGTTTTTTACTGAAGGTCTCAGGTGCTTGTGATTGAGGAAAGAGGTATCAAATACCCAATTGCTTCCTTTCTAGGGTATGAATTAAAGCTATTAGAAACATTTACAAAAGACACACATGTAAATAATATATTTGAAAAACAGAGATTTCCCAAATCAAAATAACTAAAGAGTTTGTAGAATACTAGATATTATATTAACATCAAAATGGAGTGGAAAGATTCACTTGGGATGATGAAAAACTTTGGAAATAGTGGTGATGGCTGCACGACATTATGAAGATAATTAATGCCACTGAACTGTACACTTAAAAATGGAAACAAAGGCAAATTTCTGTTATATTTATTTTGCTACACTAAAAAGAAAGTGGAATGGAAAGAAATTAAAATATCAGGTTTATTGGAGGTAGGAGACCATAGTCTTAGTTCTAGCCTTGTCACTAAAACTTGCTGTGGGATTTGGCCAAGTCCAGATTTCTGGACCTAGAGATGGCTCAAATTCTTCATTTCACAGGTAAAAATACAGACTCAAATAGGTGGAATAAACTTTTGAGAGATCTCATGACTAGAGCTGGGCTTGAGCCCAGGTTTCCTTGTTCTCAACATATAATATTGCATTGTTTATAACATTCATGATACATTGTTAGATACTCCACTGGAAGTTAGAAGGTCTCTGATGTAGGAATCCATGGCAGAAATTCACGAAAATCTTTTTGTTTCTAGTACTCCAGGAGGCTCCTTAGGTAAGTCTGGTATCAGCATGCTCAGTCTCACAGTTATATTCTTGCCTGGTTACTTTGACATTTTCATGTTCCCAATTTGTCATCAATAGAAAAACAAAATATTCCCTCAATTGATCTACAACTATTTTTTAAAATTAATTTATTTATTTGAGAAAGAGAGAAAGAGAAAGAGAGTGAGCATGAGCAGGGGTAGGAGCAGAGGAAGAGGGACAAGCGGACTCTGTGCTGAGCGTGGAGCCTAGCCGAAATCAAGAGCTGGAGGCTTAAATGACTGAGCCACCCAGGCACCCCAACCTACAACTATTATAATCAAGTAAAATGAGTGAGAGAAATTGGGATTTCTGTTCTCTAAATCCTTAACAGCAATTTTCAAAGTTGGTGTCACTCTTCCAACTGGGGGAAAAATATTTAAGAAACTCTATTTAAACAATTCTTGGGTCGAAAGGGAACTATAAATAAAGGATACAGAATATCTAGAAAATACTGATTGTTGAAACACATCATGTTGGAATTCATGGGATTCATCCAAAGCAGTGCTCAGAGGAAATTCATAGCCTTAAAATTCTTATGATATTGGAAAAGAAAGAACAAAAATAGGCTCAGTTGGTAGAGCATGTGACCCCTAATCTCAGGGTCATGAGTTCAAGCCCCACATTGGGTGTAGACCTTACTTTGGGGGAAAAAAAAAAAAAGGAAGAATCAGACTAAACAACTAGAGGAAAAAAACCATAAAAGAGGTGGCGAAAAAGCTTGGAAGAAAATAATTAGGGGTGCCTGGGTGGCTCAGTTGGTAAAGCGTCTGCCTTCGGCTCAGGTCATGATCCCAGGGTGCTGGGATCGGCCCCGCATGAGGCTCCCTGCTCAGTGGGGAGTCTGCTTCTCCCTCTGCCCTCTTACCCCCTTAAATGTGTTTAAAATAAACAGAGAAACAAAGTTTGCTCAGACACCAGCACCAATAAGAAAGTAACTCTGTGTCATTCAGGATAATTTGGTTGGTTCTAATACTGAAGTATTTGCAAAAAAAAATTAAGAATTTCTGTAGTGTATAGTGAAAGCTATGACTCTGAAGTCATTTTCCTTCTTGAGGCACAGGATAATATCACCTACCTTAGGGGATTATAAAAGATGGGAATCACATATATGACATATGTGAAGTTTCCAGTGTAGTGTGTGATATATAATAGGCTTCAGTGAATGCTTGCTTGGGGTTGCACTAGTTAAATAGTCCTATATTCTCATTTGAGAATGAGACCAAGAAAATTGAGACCACAAAATGGTGACATAAGAAATATAATCCAAAAATCAGAATAATAGGAAGTTAAACCTGTTATTTTGCCCTTCCTTCCTTTCTCCCTTCCTCTCCTTTTCTTTTCTCTCTCTCTCTCTTTCTTTCTTTTTGGATAGCATGAGTAGAAATTTATCTAATATTGGTGCTCTGGTCAGCAATGAGTTTCAGATGAATATTTTCAAATATTAAGCTATTTTAGTAACACTGTCATATATTAATAATCAATGAATAGATGAACCTGTTTATCAAAATTAAATTCCAGTTGTACTATGTCTAATGTCTATTACAGCATTCTCTATACTGTACCACAGTTATTTGTTTAATGTCTGCCTTTCCCACTAGCTTGCAACCTCTATAAGAGTGTGGAAACAACTCTTACTTCTTATTCCAAGAGTAATGCATAGCACAAAATAGATGCTCAATATGTATTTGGTAAGAGAAGGAATAAACTAACATGTTAACTGAAATAACATGCAGAAATACTTAGTATGGTGATAAGCACACAGCAGGTGCTAAATAAATGTTAAAAGAATCTAACTCTCATGGGCTCTACCCCTAGTAACCAAGAGCAGATGGTTTTCTTTCTCTGAGGTCCTTCTCCAGCATCAACTTTCAGATTAATTTTCTACATACATGTCCCTTTAGGGCTAACCAAAGTTGCTTGTAGGGATACACAACCTCTGTGGATTAGAGCTGTATACATTTTCTAAACTATTAAGTGGTATCATTTGACTATTTTTTTTAAAGATTTATTTATTTATTTTAGAGAGAGAGAGGAGAGAGAGAGCATGAGCGGGAGAGGCAGAGGGCAAGGGAGACAGAATCTCAAGCAGACTCCGCGCTCAGTGTGGAAGCCAGGCACAGGGCTCTATCTCCTGACCCTGAGATCAGGACCTGATCTGAAACCAAGAGTTGGATGCTTAGCTGATTGTGCTGACTGAGCAGGCACCCCTCATTAGGCTATTTCTAACACTGTGGTTCTTTAAAACTGTCTTTGATGGCCAACAGACACATGAAAAGATGCTTATCATCACTTACCATCAGGGAAATACAAATCAAAATTACAATGAGATATCACCTCACATCTGTCAAAATGGCTAAAATCAACAACACAAGAAACTACAGGTGTTGGTGAGGATGTGGGAAAAAAGAAACCCTCTTGCACTGTTGGGTGGGAATGTAAACTGGTGCAGCCACTCTGGAAAACAGTATGGTGGTTCCTCAAAAAGTTAAAAATATAACTACCCTACAATTCAGCAATTGCACTGCTGGGTATTTACGCAAAGAATACAAAAACACTAATTCAAAGGGATACATGCACCCCTATGTCAATTTATTTATTTTAAAGATTTTATTTATTTATTTGACAGGGAGAGAGCACAAGCAGAGGGAGCAGCAGGCAGGGGGAGAGGGAGAAGCAGGCTCCCTGCTGACAGGAGAGCCTCATGCAGGGCTCGATCCCAGGACCCTGGGATCATGACCTGAGTCCAAGGCAGACACTTAACGGACTAAGCCACCCAGGTGCTCCACCCCTAAGTTTAAACAGCAGCATTATTTACAATGCCAAGATATGGAAGCAGCCCACATATCCATCAATTGATGAATGGATAAAGAAGAGGTGGTATATACATTGGAATATTATTTAGCCATAAAAAAGAACAAAATCTTGCCATTTGCAACAACATGGATGGAGCTACAGAGTATAATGCTAAGTGAATTAAGTCAGTCAGAGAAAGACAAATACCATATGATTTCACCCATATGTGGCATTGAAGAAACAAAAATGAGCAAAAGGGAAAAATGAGAGAAAAGAGAGAGACAAACCAAAAAACAGACTTGTAATTATGGAGAACAAACTGATGGTTACCAGAGGGGAGGTGAGCAGGGGGATGGGTGAAATAGGTGATGGGGATTAAGGAAGGCACTTATTGTGATGAGCACTGGGTGATGTATGGAATTGTTGAATCCCTATACTGTACACCTGAAACTAATATAACCTGTATGTTAATTGGAATTAAAATAAAAACTTAAAAAAAACTGTCTTTGAGATTAAAAAATATTTTCCTGATTATAAAAATAATGTACATAATCATTGCAAAAATAAATGATAAGAAAAGCATTACAATTAATTATCAGATTCACCGAGAGATAGCCACTACTATCCTTTGAGTGTTTACACCCATTAATTTTTTAAACCATTTTTAAGTGTACAATTTAGTGACATTAAGTACATTCACAATGTTGTCTTATCATCACCACCATTTTTTTCTAAACTTTTTCATCACCACACTCTCCATCAATTTTTTGTGCATATTTTTATATAAACATATATATTTTAAACTTTTTTTTACAAAACTTGAATCATTGTTATATTGTACAATGCTTTATCTTTTGTCCAAAGTCATGCACTTTGTCATTGTTTTAAAGTTTTTATTGAAATATAACATGTATATGAAAAAGTGCATTGTATAGAGATAGTGTACAACTTGATAAATTTTCAGAAGTGAACATACCTATGTAAGTGGCACCCTGATCAAGCATCTCAGAAGTCCTTTTGTCCCCTTCCTAAAAATTATGTTCCTTAATCACTATCTGCAGTTTATTTATTTACTTATTTAAAGATTTTATTTATTTATTTGACACAGAGAGACACAGCGAGAGAGGGAACACAAGCAGGGGGAGTGGGAGAGGGAGAAGCAG